CTCTTAAATTACACTGAATTGAGCAGTGAAATTGCAGGGGAATTATCTATACACTAAAACTGCTTTATTTAGCTAAAGTAATTTAGGTGACTATAGTGTTCCTTTAAGATATGCAATATGTAAATTTTTTAAGAAGATTTACACTAATAGGTAGGCTGTTAAAGGACCACTATAGGCACCTAGACGACTTCAGCTTAATGAAGTGGTCTGGGTGCCTGGTCCAGCTAGGGTTAACCCCCCCTTTTTTTTTTTTTAATAAACATTGCAGAGAAACTGCTATGTTTATAAATAGGTTAATCCAGCCTCTAAAGCCTCTAGTGGATGTCTCATTTTGCGTGCTTCTCACTGAAAAAAAACAAACAAAAAAAAAAAAAACACACACACAGTGAGAAGACGCAAGCGTCCATAGGAAAGCATTATGAATGCTTACTTCCCTTCCATTATGAATCCTTTCCTATGAGACTGGCTGAACACGCGCAGCTCCTGCCGCGCTTGCGCATTCAGCCGAAGAGGAGGCGGAGTGCGCGCAGCGCTGGAGAAAGAGGTAAGTTTACCCCCTTCCTCTCCATCCAGCCCGGCGGGAGGGGGTCCCTGAGGGTGGGGGCACCCCACTATAGTGGTCCTTTAAGATATAAAATCAGGGAAACCTTGTGAGAGAATCCCTGGTTTGGCATTTCATAAAACCAAGTAATTGATAGAAAGGTCTTCAACAGTAAACAACGTTGCAACGATTGCTGCAATATGGCAAAAGGATTTAACCGTCTATTCAATGATCTGACTATTTATCCATTGCCAAAAATAAACAAAACAGACAAGCGTATCTAGATGCCAATTTGATACGGTGAGTCTAAAAATCAAGCCAACAGGTGATATCTTGTTTCTATATATTCCTTTTTTTATCCAAAAGAGGGACACATCTGGAGAAATACAACCAATTCACAACTGAATTACTCAACTTCATATTGATGCATAATTACTTCTCCTTGTCTGGAGTTTCCTACCACCAGGTGCAGGGGACGTCTTGTGCGCCCTCATATGCCAATCTGCACCTAGATTGGTGGTAAGAGAATGTTGTGTTCTCCGTTATGTACGGTAATTTTGAGTGGTGCATCCATACTTGGAAGAGAGTTCTAGATTACATCATGGTTGTTTGGATTGGGTCTAGTGAGAATTTCTTCTCCTTTGTCAAATTATTAAAATTACCTCAATTTGAGATTTACAGCAGAGGTGGGAAATCCCTCCTTAAACCTTTTGGATGTGACATTAACTCCAGAGACCAAAAGGTACCAAAAGAACTAGGGATCAACCGATTATCAGTGTGGCCGATATTACCGGCCAATAACAATACCATATTGCCGATCAGGACCGCCGGGCCCATGACAAGCCCTGCTGTCCTGGGGGTCCAAAAAAGGTCTTACTTCCCTTCCTAGCAGCTCCCTTGTCTAAATATCGCAAGTCCCGAGGCCGTCAGAACGTTGCCACCGGTTACCATGGCAACGCTCCGTGCGGCACACAGGCCGTGAGACTTAGACAGGGAAACTGAAGGAAACTGCTGGGAAAGTAAGTAAGAGCTTGCTGGGCCCCCCCTGCACAGTCCATGCCACCGGACCACCAGGGAATGCTATATCCCCCTCCCTGGCCAGGTAACAAGCAGGGAAGGAGGACAAAAATAAAATATATATTTCCTTACACATTCTTGGAAAAAGTCTAACTGGTAGTTTTTGCATTTACCTTAAATTAAAAACAAAAAATTAAACAGTTAACAGTAGATTTAGTTACATTTTTTAAAACGATTAACCCCTTAAGGACACATCATGATTCCCTTTTATGCCAGAAATTGTGTCCTTAAGGGATTAAGGACAGATTTTGGCCCATCCATCCTAATTCTCCAAAAGCATCCATCACAGCTAGAAGAAGAAATAATTTCAAAGACTTATTGGTACACAGTTATTTCCAAAGGGACACGGAACCAAAGCACTGGCTGTCAAGTAAATTAAAAGGGACTTACAAATGTGGTCAGTGTAAAGTGTGCAACTTTATGTCTAAGGAATCACTTTGTGAATACTTTGAGAATAGCAGCCATAATGAAAAACACTCCAAGTTAAATCTTTAACACAAAAGAGCTAATTTATTTACTGACATGCCAGTGTGGTCTCATGTTCATAGGAAAAACGTTTCACCCCTTCAAGAGGCGCATTCTAGAACATAACAATTCTATAAAAACCACTAGAAATATTGAGACACCAATGTCCAGGCATGTCAAACTGGTCCATAAGGGCAACACCAAAGGACTGAAATTCCAAGGCATCAAATTAGTAACACTAGATCAAATGAAAGGCAACCTTGATAAACGCCTGCTTAGGAGGGAATGCTTTAGGATACATCATCTGAAGACACTCTCCCCTCTGGGACTTCATGAAGGATTTACATTATCTGCATTTATTAACAACTTCTAAAATATATTATTCAAAGATTGATTACTAATAGAACAGCTAAACTA